GTTCATGCCCCTGCTCAGATTCTTGTGTCGGCGCCACTTCCGCGCCTTCCCCGCGAGCGGCGGGCAACTCCTGCTCGTCGGGCTCTTCCGGCTCCTGCTCCACATGCTGCTCTCGCTCGCTACTCTGCGACAAGTCCGACTGGTTGGGCCCGCCGCCAGAGTCGCGGCACGGCGGCGACTGGGGCAAGGACGCCCGGCGAGGACATGCGGGTCGGTGCGGGCCGCGCGGTTGGCCGCCAGGCAAGGGCCGGGTCGCCTCCGGCGGTTGGGGCAGGCTGGTGGGGATACTTTTTTGGTCACGGGCGGACGCGGATTCGCAGTCGCCGAGCTGAGAGGTCCGGGCCAGTGGCCTGTCAAATTAGCAACGCGCAAGCCTAAGAGCACAGCGGCCGAGCCCGCACTCAGAACCTACTGCCGGTGGGCCGCAGGCTGAAGGGGAGCTGGCTGAGCTGAGCTGGTGGGGATACTTTTTTGGTCGCGCCCGCAAGCGAAGGCGCAAGCGAGTCAGAAGCGCTACGGGTCAGCTGGTGGGGATACTTCTCGTGATTGCGGCCACCAGGCAACGGTCAGGCGGCGAGAGCAGTGTCTGGGGCAACGGCACGGTGCGAATTGGCGAAATATGGTGGGGATACTTTTTTGTTCGGCGGCCCGGAAGGAAAAGTCCAGAGGGCGTGTCAATCAACGGCAAAAGGGCGCGATGCCAGATAATTCGAGTGGGCCAGGCCACAAACGGAGAAAGCCGCCAAGAGGGCGCCAACCCACGCACGTGCAACATGCAGAGCAGGACAGCAGCGGCACCATGCCAGAATATTAGACCGACCGTCCTAACAACAGACGACCCGACCAGCAGGCGGACACATACCCTGCACGGGGCAAATTCAAGAGAGCGGACCGTCCTGACGACAGCCAGCCGCGCTGGCAGGAAGGCACGACTCTGGTGGGGATACGCGAAGCGTCTAGAATTCTGAATATATCTAAATTCTGTTTTTTTAGAATGTCGACCAGTTCTATGCCGGACCCTATTTCAATGGACCAATTCAATGACCATTTCTATGACCAGTTCGATCCAGTTGTACCAGTTCCGCAACGAAGCAAACCCGCATCAACGAAACAACGAAACTCTTCTTACCCAGACGGTGCCCAGACAAAAGTGACCACACCCATGGCGGGAAGGCGCCCGTGCTTCGCACTCTCACATTTTGTCCCTGGCCTTTGGCCTGCCGCCTAACCCATCAACGTTGACTTTAGGGGAAGGGGGGATATGCATGTTGGTCCGACGTACTTTAATGACTCAAGGTCTTGGCGAGACACGTGTGGACACTTTTAGTCCACCCACCGTAGTGTACAAGTTACAATACAAGTGGCACGCGTGCCATGGTTTTTGCGCAGAAGGGTGGGGGAAGGAGGAAGAGGAGGAGGAGGAAGAGGAGGAGGAGGAGGAGGGGGGGAGAGAGGGGGCGGGAAATCGGAGAAGGGTCGAGGGGGCGGGACGGCGGGGGAGATGCGACGCCGAAATAGAATGGTCGGGGCGGAGGGGGGCGGGGTGCATTGGGCGGGCGGGGAAAGGGAAGGGTCGTGGGGGCGGGCGGAACGGTGGGGGACGTGCGACGCCGAAAGCAAGTGGTCGGGGCGGAGGGGGGCAGGGTAGAAACTGCACTGGACGGGGGGCGGTGCGACGCCGAAATAAAATATTCGGGGTGTGGGGGGCCGCGCTGTTGGTGGTGGTGGTTGGTGTGGGTGGGTGGGTGGAGAGGGCGGGAGGGGCGGGGCCGTAGGGGCGGTGCGACACCGAAAGCAAGTGGTCGGGGCGGAGGGGGCCGGGGTGCAGAAGGCACTGGGCGGCTGGGGAGGGGGGAAGGGTCGGCGGGGCGGGGCGGTGGGGGCGGTGCGACGCCGAAAGCAAGTGGTCGGGGCGGAGGGGGCGGGGTGGGGAGGGCACTAGACGGGGGGCGGTGTCGAGCTGGTGGTGGTGGTGGTGGTTGGCGTATAACGCGGTCGGGGAGGAGGGGTGCTGGGTGGAGAGAGCACTGGACGGGGGGCGGTGTCACGCTGGTGGTGGTGGTGGTTGGCGTATAACGCGGTCGGGGCGAAGGGGGGCTGGGTGGAGAGAGCACTGGACGGGGGGCGGTGTCAAGCTGGTGGTGGTGGTGGTTGGTGTGGGTGGGTGGGTGGAGGGGCGGGGGTGGGCGGGGGGGTAAGGGCGGTGCGACGCCGAAATAAGACACCCTGTGCAAGAGAATAAGTCCTATTGTGCAGGTTACAATCGAAGTCCTAGCGCACAGGTTACAATAGGAGTCCTACGGTACATTGTGCAAAAGGAGCGCTTACGTACAAATTACACAAAGATTCCGATTGTGTAAGTTTGAACCGGATTCCTAGTGTACACGAAACCGTGCGTATGCTAGGTTTGTTTGATTCTTCAAGTATAGTAAGCAACGAAGCATTGTGTATGCTAGGTTGTTTTGGTTGATCAGGCTTCGTAGGCTGAGAGAAAAAAAGAGAGAGATGTGCTGGGGGGGAGGCCGCGGTGAGCACTAGAGTATTGGAGACCTTACTTATAGATCTAACAAACACCTAGTATACACACTGTTTCATTGCTTGCCAGCCCCCACACAAAAAAAAAATAGCATACACAGCTCTTCGCAGCCCCGACCGAAGCCGGAATGCTTGCGCGCACGCTGCGAGCACTGGAGCCCTCTTCACCATGTGTTTTTGGGGGCAAAACTTCTCGTTGCTTACCAACCTGAAGAACCCAGAAAAACCTAGAACACACAGCGTTTCGCGGCACCGGCCGAAGCCGAGATGCTTGCGCGCACGGTGCCCGTGACGGATGTGCCGAGCGGCTGGGCTCGTCGGCCTGGATCGCAGGCTAGTGCGCGAGTGGTGAAAAAAGCGAAGCGAATCAGTGAAGCGAGCGTGCGGTTTCAAGGAGGCGGTTCTGCGGATTCGTCCTTTGGGTACAGGTACGCGCGCGAGCTTCCCGTGCGCTGAGGTTCAAACAATCTCCAATCCTTGATGAGTTTTCTGCGGGCGCTCCTCTGGCAGTTGTCCCTCATTGGGCCTCGGCGGCCTCTTGGTGCTCCCGAGAGCCCCCCAAACTGCACCAGTATCCTCGCTTCGCGGGGTGTGGTGCGTCCCGAGCGCGTGAGGTCTGGGCGTTGCGGCCGCCATTGACGACTGGAGATGGGAGAGGAGGAGGTGCTTGCGAGATCTCTTAGGGATTTGCTGCGGCGCTTCCTGGGAGGCTCTTGGAAGCATGGGAGGCACCTCTGGACAGCCTGCTGAAACTTTCTGGGGCCTCCCGGGGGGCTTCTGAGGGCACCTTTCAGGCCTTGTAGGGTGCATCTTGGGGGCATCTTCGGAGTTTTTGGGGCCAGCTTGGGGGGGGGGGGGGGGGAGGTCTCCTGGGGACCCTTGGGCCTCCGGACCCTTGGGTCTCCTTATCTTGGGGGCATCTTGGGCCGCCCTGGGGGCCATCACCATCACCACCACCATGATCATGAAACTCATTCTCGGTTTGGCTGGGGGGGAGCCAAATCATTGAAGCACATCCCGTGAAAGGGTGCATACTTGTGAGGCGCTGGAGCTGCGGGAGGGCGTTTTGGCGGGTATGGCGACGTTTAACACATGATATGGAATACCTCGTCACTCTGGGAGCAGTGCATGATATGTGGGCGCGAGGACTCTTAGAGGCTTCTTCGGGTCTTTTGGGGAGATTCGTGGGAGCCTCTTGGAAGCATGTTTGGAGCTTCTGGGAGCCTCTTGGGACATCTTGGGAGCGTCTTGGGCCGCCAGGAGGGTATTGGGGGAATGTTGAGAGCAACAACCCCCATGATGATGCCCCAAGACCTCCTTGGCCCTCTATTGGGACTCCACTGGGGCCCTTTAAAGCAATGTTGATAGCCCCTTGGGCCGTCTTGGGACCCTCTTGCGCTGTCTTGAGACTATCTTGAAGTCTTCTTGGGCCGTCTTCGGGCTATATGGGAGGCCCTGGGGCCGTCTCGGGCTGTCGGAGGCCCAAAAAAGCGAGAACGCCGAAATCCTTCAAAACCCTAAGAAAATCCACACGGTTTGCCTCTTCGGCACCTCCTGGGGAACTTTTGGAGCCTCTTGGGGGCCTCTGGGGGCCTCTTGAGAGCGTCTCGAAGGCCTCCAGGAGAGTCTTGGGGTCATGTTGGGAGCCGCACCCCCCAAGATAGGGCCCCAAGATGAACCCCTCCTGGCACCATCTTGGGGCCCTCTTGGAGGTCTCTTGGGGCCCTCTTGGGCCGCCGTGGGGACCTCTTGGGCCGTCATGGGGCCCTCTCTGTGGGTCCTCTTGGGCCCGATTATATTATCACCAAGGACAATTTGTACGCAGACGACACCCTCTTGGTGTCGCAACAACCCGGGAATCTACAACTCCTGCTCGAATACGTTGTCACAGAAGGTCGTAAATGATACCGGAGAAAAACTCCAATCAGATTTTTGTTGGGGCAATGGGGCTATATGGGCTATATGGCTATAGGGGTATAGTGGTATGGGGCTAGTGGGCTATTGGGCTATAGGGGCTATACAACCTTAGGGTTATAGGGCTATAGGGCTACATAGCTATAGGGCTATAGGGCTGTAGGGCTCTAGAGCAATAGGGCTCTAGGGCTCTAGGGCTATAGGGCCATAGTGCTATACGGCTGTAGGGCTATAGGGCTATAGGGCTATAGGGCTACTGGGCTATTGGGCTATTGGGCTATTGGGCACCCCCGGGCACCCGGGCACCCCCGGGCACCAGGGCACCCGGGCACCCGGGCCCGGCCACCGAAATCGGCCACGCACCTCACCGGCCACCCGGGCACCCGGGCAACGCCGGGCACCCGGGCACCCGGGCACCCGGGCCCGGCCACCGAAATCAGCGACAAACCTCACCGAACCCTTTAATCCGCTAGGACCCCTACAGAGGCAAGCTCTGATTGGGGAATATGGTATGGAACTCAACTGGGATAAAACAATGCAAATGCAAAATCCGTCAACAGGAGAAATAAGAACACCCACGGGCGAGAACATCGCATCCGTCAGGGGAGCAATTTACTTGGGTGGGCTGGCATCTTGCGATGGCGAAGCTGGAAGTGAGTTGTCTCGAGGCTGGGCGAAGGAGCGAGCGTCTTCAAGCAGCTACAGAAAAAATGGCATCATGCCGCCATCCAGGGCCGCCAACACCGCCGTGCTGGACAAGGCTGGCACAAAGCCGCTTCTGATACATGATCTGACAAACTAGTGGCGCTGTACACAAAGATCGCAAATGGAAGTGGATCTTGCTTGGCGAGAGCACTACTCTGCAATGCTGACGGCTCTCCCAGGCAATGGGCTTCCCGCAAGAGGCGTGGGCAGCCGCGGCAGCGATGGGCCACCTCGGTGTATGAGCTTTTGGTAGCTATACACAGTATTCCCTCTTCCTCCTGCGCCTGCTCCTCCTCTCCTTCTGCCCCGCTGCAAACTTCTGCTTCACCAGTCGGGCGCTCCATCTTCTGCTTCACAGCCAGGCGCTACATTTCCTGCTTCACTGTCGTGGGGCGCTCCGTTTTCCGTCTCTAATTCGGTAACCCCCAAGGGTTGCCAATCGCGCGCTCTTCTGCCTATGCGTCCTTCCGGATGCTTGGATCTGTGGTGGTGGTGGTGGTGGTGGTGGAGTCCTCGTGGACTGTGCTCAGGCCACCTGGGAGGCCTCTGGGGCCGTCTTGGGCTGCCGGGGCCACGAAGAAGGTAGAACGCGACAATCCGTAAGAACTTAGCGAGAATCAGCGATCTGCGCGTATTCGGAAAATCTCTTGGGGCGCCTATTGTGGCCTCTTGAGTCTCGGGAGCCTCTGGGAGCCTCTGGGAGCGTCTTAGAGCGTCTTAGAAGCGTCGAGGGTGGTTTTGGGTGCATGCTGCGAGCCGCGCCCCCCGAGGTAGTGCCTCAAGACTCCTCTTGGCCCTCTCTTGGGGCTCACGGGGCGTCTTAAGCGGTCGCGTAAGCCTCTCGGGCCATCCACCTTGGATGCTTCTTGGGCCGCCTTCGGGCCCTCTTGGGGCCCTCTTAAAGCCATGCAAGGCCTCTTGGGGGCCTCTCGGTGCCTCTTGGGGAAATCTCGGGAGCTTCTGGGGGCCTCTTGGGAGCGTCTTTGGGAGCCTCCTGGAGAGTTTTGGGAGCATGTTGGAAGCCACACACCCCAAGACATTGTCCCACGACCCCGTGGGATCCTCTTGGCGCTCCTGTAGGGCCCTCATGGGACGTCTTGGGCGCCCCTTGGACCGTCTTCGGGCCGCCTTGGCCCGTCCTGCAGGCCTGTTGACGTGTTTTGAAGCCTCCCTGCGCCGTTTTGGACGCTATGGTGATTCAGGAAAGTAATCATGCTTAGAATCTACGTTACCCTGAGGACATGAAGCGATTTGGGTCTCCTGGGCCCTCTTGGGGGGGCCTCTTAGTGCGCTCGTGGGCCCCGTGGTCCTTGCTGAGGAGATCATGGGGCGTCTTGGAGCACCCTCAGAGAGTCCTTGATGCCTCTTGGGCTGTCTGGAGGCAACCCTGGCCGCTCTGGGAACGCTTTCGGGCGGTCTCGGACCCCCAGGGGCCTCCCGGGGAAGGCCCAGGGTGGGGGGCATGTACAAGGGAGGGTCCTGGTCCATAGCCCCAGGCCCAGGATCTCCCTCATACGTATATGTATGTGTGCGTGTATATTTACGTAGATGTAGGTATCAATATGTAAATGTGTGTGAGTATGTATAGGTTCACGTAAATGTATATGCATGTGCTGAGTTACATGCTTGTACACATGTACATGCACATGCATATGTATGTGAAGATGAATGTGAAAATGAACATGTGTAAGTAAATGATCATGCATGTGAACAAGAATGTGTACGTGTGTGTATATGGATGTGTTTATGCATCCGTATGTGTAAATGTAACTACACATGCGTATGTATAGGTATAGTCATATGTGAATGTATATGTATATGTATATGTATACGCATATACATGTGTAAATGGATATATACGTGTATATGTATTGCACATAATCACTGATGCCTACGCGTGTACGTTAATATGTCTGCATATGGATATATATATATATATATATATATATCCGTAGACATGTGTATCTATATATATATATATAAATGTATATGTGTGTACGTATGTGTGCATGTATGGATGTACCATGTGTGCATGTATGGATACGCTATGTCGACGTAAATGTCTATGCATATGTGTATGCATATGTGCATGTATGTGTACGTCTATGTGCTTAAACATGTGTAGGTGAAAAGAGACGCAAATGTGTAAGTATACGCACATGCATGTGCAATTGCAGTTGGGGGTGTATATGAATATGCGTACGTGCATGTGTATATGCACATGCGTATGTACATATATAGGTATGTGTGCATGTGCATGCGTGTATTCACATGTATCTGTATATGTGATGTCATGTGTATATGCATATAGCTATGTGCACTGATGAATATATGTATATGAAAATGTCTACGTCTATGGGCATGTGCATGTGTCTGAAAAATGCGCTTGTCTATGTGTATGCATATGTACGGATGTGAATATGCAAAACAAATGTATCTAGAAATGGATATGTCAACGTGTATGTACGTGTGGTTGTATATGTGTGCGTGCGCGCGTGTGTATGTGCAACTGCAAGTGTAATCGCATATGTACATGTGCATATGTATATGGCGTGTGGACACAAACATGCAGAAGCACATGTACCTGCACGTATATATCTCCGGATATGTGTATGTGTAAATGTGTATATGCATGTCCACGTCTGTCTAGATTTGTGTGTATGTGTGTATGTACGTGTACACGTATATGCATAGGCGTATGTATATGTACATGTACAAGTGCGTGTGTATGAATGCGTATGTACATGTAGATGGTTGTGTTCTCCAAATAGGCTTGCCCTTCAGGGGCTTAAACACAAACCTTACTAATTGGTCCATGCCCCCCCTCCCCCCCCCAATTTCTATGCCCCCCCCCCTGATTCCTATGACTATGCCTATGCCTCCCCCTAACTCCTATGCCTACGCCTATGCTTATTCCAAATAGGCGTGCCCTATAGGAGCCCTAGCTTATCATAAGCAATTGGTCTTTAGGACCCCCCCCCTCTTATTCCAATGGCACACCCCCCCTTTTCCAGTGGCACCCCCCCCCTTGATCTCGCTTGCTTGCTCTTGCGTGCTTGATCTCGCTTGCTTGCTCTTGCTTGCCCTTGCTTACATTCATTTGATCGCTGGCTCTTGATTGCGTGTTATTGCTCGCTTACGCTTGCTTGCTTCCGCTTGCTTGCTTGCGATTGCTTGATGTTGCTCATCACGTTCTCCTCCCGTCCTGCTCCCGTCCTCCGGTCGTCCTCCTCCTATCCTCTTCTCGTCCTCCTCCTGTCCTCCAATCTATTTGGAGTCAACACTGGCTGGTATATATAAATGTGTATGAGTGCGACTTCGTATATGTTCATGTATACTGAATGTATACGTATATCGTGATGCCAATGTAGGTGTAGGTGTATGTGTAAATGTAAATGTATATGTACGTGTAAATGCACATGTCTATGAGTGTAAACGTATATGTCTGTGTAGGTATGTGTCTGTGTATGTCCGCGTATTTGCTATACGCCTGCGAAAATGCATTGGCACATGCAGATGGCGTTGCATGCGCGTGTGCGTATGCACATGTATGTGTGCCTGCAAATTGATGTGTGTGTATGTTCCCATGCTGTGCATAAGAAGATTGTATTAACATAGATGGTTGTGTAAATTTGTGTATACGCCTATGGATGTGTATGTGAATATGCACACAGGAAAGATTACGTATACCTATGTGATCAGTATGCATGTGAGCGTGTATGAGTGTATGTATTTGTGTATGCGTGCATGTATGTGTGAGTTGAAAATGCGCATGCGGATGTGCATGTGTTTATGTGATTGTATATGTATGTGAAGATGTGAATGCACCTGTATGCGTGCGTTTATATGCATGTGTGTATGGATGTGTTCGCGTGCCTGTGTATGTGAATGTGAATGTACATGTAGATGTGTAAATGTGAATGTGTTCATGCGTATACATGGCATGATTGTTGTACCGATGTATGGATGTATGGGTGAATATATGGATGCATGGATGTGTCGTATATGGGTGTGCAGATGTGATGATGTATGGATGCACGGTTATATGGAAGTATGAAGATATGGATGGAAAAATACATGGACGTATGCAAATATTCACAATTGTGAATGTTTGGGTGAGTATGCGTGTACGTATTTGCATGCACATGTGCCAATACATATGTACAATTGCCTGCAAGTATTGATCTACAGAGCTATATTTACATACATGTGTATATGGTCCTCACCCCTCGAAGATAATACCCCTCTGTAGATAATAATACACGCCATACTCCCTCCGTCTTCTCTCTCCACCCTCTCTATCCCTCTCTCTCTCTCTCTATCTCTCTCTCTCTCTCTCTCTCTCTCTCTCTATCCGTCCCTCTCACTTTGTGCTTCTCTTGTTCTCTCTTTCTCTTTCTCTTTCTCTTTCTCTCTCTCTCTCTCTCTCTCTCTCTCTCTCTCTCTCTATGTCCTCGCCTCTGTCACAATGCAACGCTGTGTTTTCCAGTTTCCCCAGCTGTACGAGATTTTCCCAAGAGACTACCCCACTAAAAAACGCTGTGATTTCCAGCCTTGCCCCGCTGTTTCAGCTTTTCCCCGGGACTGCTCACTTGAAAAACGCAGTGTTTTCAAGCTTTTCCAGCTTTTCCAATGTTTCCCAGAAACTACCCCAGGGAAAAACGATGTTGTCCAGCATTCTCCAGCTTTTCCACCGTTCTCAAAGACTACCACAATGAAAAACGAGTTGTTCTCCAGCTTGTCCAAATTTTCCATCTGCTCCCATAGACTATCCCAATGAAAAACTATGTGGTTTCCAGCTTTCTTTCAGCTTTTTCCGACATCGCTGTGTGTTCCCGTTTTTCCACCTGTTCTCGCTCTTCCCAGAGACTACCCCATTGAAAAATGTTTTCAGACTACCCCTGTGAAAAATGTGTTTGCCAGCTTTTCCAGCTCTTCCAGTTGTTCCTCACTGTGAAAAGCTGGGAAAGCTGGAAAAACTAGAAAACACGACGAGATTCACTATGACAATCTTTGTGAGCAGCTGGAAAAGCTGGAAAAGCTGGAAACCACACCATGGTTTAATGGGGTGGTCTCTTGGAAAACTGAAAATCACAGCGTTCTTCATTGGGGTAGTATCTGGGAAAAGCGGGTACAGCAGGGGAAGCTGGAAAACACAGAGTTCCAGTGACATAGTGGAGTATGACCAGAGGGGCTTGATCGTGAGCTCCTGGGCCAGCTCCACCGAGACGTACAACCTTCTGGGCTCCAACTTCGAGCTCTCGGTTGT